ACACAGAAAAGATGCTCAATAAGTACTTACTGAATCAATGAAACAAATTTAAGACTCTCACCAAAATGCCTACAGAGGCCAGAAGTGAAGTCATAGGTCATATTAGGGACCTTCCCAAGCGAGCAGGCACATACCCCATCTGATGCAGCAACCACTCCTCAGTCCCAGCCAACTTGTCGTGAGGGAATCAGTACCCAGCCCTGCCAAATACTGTGACTTCTCCAGAGAAGCCAAATACTTGCATTTATACATCAAAGTCCCTGTTTTGTAAAACACTGGAAATAACACAAGGCCAGGGGCAGCAGAGTCCAGGGCTTGGGCAGGCCACAACTTAATGACCCTGGGTCTAAATGGTCTGAGATCATGGCTGGGGGTCCCCAGGTGGAGAGAAGTCAGCAGTACTTTTGCGTTGTGTTAGCCGGGGTGACAGGCAGGGGGAGAGGCTGCAAAGCAAGTGAAGAAAAGTACAAAGTAGCATTCACATGACACTAAGGAGGGGCTGCAGTCTGAGGTTCCCATGGATAGAGAGTGGGGCCCAAGGCTGCTCTCTCAGCAGGAAGGGGACCCTAGACAGGGACTCCGGGCTCCGGAAGATTCCCACGCCGGAAGGTGGTGCAGGGCAGCTTGAATAAATGGGAACAACAAAGAACAAAGACTCAAAGCGTTCCCAGAACATTCTGCTCTGTACCAGGCTTCTCCAGCTTGACCTGGGAAGCAGGCTGTAAGCCCCATAACCACTGAGAGAGGCCTCTGCCCCAATCCAGAGGGATGCAGAATTACAGTCAGATTTCATTTAAGGTAAAAGCCACATTAACACTTCTCTGTCTAAGGTGTGATTGCCCTGGACAGCTGCAGTCGCTTCTCGCTCACCCTCCTGAAAACAGGAATGACCAGAATTAAGAGGCTGAATTTGACTTGTACCATCACTTCTGCTTGTAAAAGGCATGTATTAGGTGTCAGCAGTCATGCGGAGAAATCACCCCAGCGAACTGGAAATGGACACTGTAAGGAACTCAGGTAAGAGGATCTTACTCAGGTAAGATCCACACAGCCCCCGTCTGCCTGGCAGGCACCGTGGGCTGTCTCTCCTTTGTCCATCCCACCCCGCTCACATCCGGTAGAGCCCTCCCCCTTGCCACGGTGACTACCTCAGGCCATCCAAGCCTTAGCCGCGGAGCACATAACACTCCTGTGGCCTTCGGGATTGGTTCACACCATGTGTCTTAGCCTGGGTTCCCCAGAAAACAGAACATGAGGCAAAGGCTTATGTTCAAGGACTTTTTTGAGCATTGTACACCCAGAGAGCAGAAGTGAGGAGGCAGGAAATGGAGGGGTGGCAGTCGATATGAAGGTTCATTTCACGAGTAACCTGCAAAAACTTAAGTTTATTTGGCGGGTGCATTGGACTGCTTGATCTCCATCTTCCAGGAGGCTGTATAAACAGCTGCTACTCGGGAACATCTGCTACAGGAAGGAAGGGGGAAGAATGGATCTGTGGTCCTGTCTCCCTTTGGTGAAAGGCTGGCCCCACTGGGTGTTAACTCCCCTACACATCTATGCTGTGGGTATGCCCATGGCGTCCCACAGCATCTTATGCCTCAACAGCAACAGGGGGAAAGGCAAGGGCAACAGAAGGCCAAAGGCACTGTTGGTCATGCCCCCCATGAAGATGGCAAGCCCACACGGAGCCTGCTGCCCCTGCTGAGCCTGGGCCGGCACAAGCAGGCAGAGGTCCTGAGACAGGCGAGGCTGTGTGGACCTAAAGTGGCTCCTGAGACGTGTCTGATAGGCTGTCCAATCAGCAGAGCGTCCAGGACTTGGGCTTGGTTGTCACGAGCCAGAGCCAGACGGTGGAGAGTCTTGGTCCTTGATTTGGATGCTTCTGCCAACACTGCCCCACGTTTCTTCGGCTTTTTTTTTAAGTCTTGACTCATAGAGAGATTGTGATCAGTGAAAAACCCCACATTTTGTTTCACATTAATGGCTATCATGTTCAGTGTGTGGGGTAATTGATTTTCTTTTTGAACTTAAAGATAGCACTGACTTATCTCTTCCATTTCCTCCTGTTGATGGTGGCCCTGTTGCTTCAGCCGGTCAAGATCCTTTGGTACCTTGGTTCTGTCATCCAGAATATGAGGTAGTTCTTCCTAGCTCTGAGTCATTTCCAGTGCCCTCCAGGGCCATGGATGTGAAATGGCTTTGAAATTGCAGAGATGACAAATTCAGACGGAGGAGAAAGCTCCCTACCCTTTGCTCTGTCACTGTCACTTTGCTTAGACTGGAGCTGTTCCTCCCATGCTGAAGGGGTGTGTCTACCTTAGTTTATGTTCTCCCAAAAGCAGAGCTTGAGGTGAGGATTTGGATGCACATAGTTTATTTGGGGAGTGCTTCCACAAGGCAGGAGTGAGGGTTTGAGTGAGCCAGTGAAGTCAAATGTATTATTCTGAGCTAATTACCACAGTGGGCGGCCTCTAACAACACATAACATAATATAACATAACATGCCGCTACCCCTACCTAGAGCTGAGATACAGAGCCCCCACCTCTCCCCACCCCAGGGCTGGGATCCAAACCTTGTTGGAGAGAGTATGTCTGTGGCTCACTAGATGGCAGAGAAGTCACTGTGGTGCCATGCTGGTGGAACTTGCTAGAAATCTGTCCTCTAGAACTTTCTGGAAGTCCACCCTCTGGGTGCTAGAGAGAGCTGTTCATAGGAGTACCTCAGTGGAAGAATTCTGCTATAAAACCATCTGAAGGAGTGCCAGTGTTGCTGGGTTTTGCTGGTTACCGTGCATAGCAGTAGCTGGGCACTGCAGAAGCCTAAGAGCCTGATTCTCCAGGAAAGGACAGGAAGAAAAATTCCTTTTTTTTTTTTTTTTTTTTTAAGGCAACCTGATCCTGGTTCTGCCACTAGCAAGTTGTGATATGGGCCACTTCTTTGAGCCTCAGATTCTTTATCTATAAAATGAGCAGAGGGATTAGCTGTTAAGGCCCCTTCCAAAATCTAACATTGTGTTTCACTGTATTTCACGAGTAATCTGCAAAAACTTAAATTTATAAATCAGTACCTAATTTTCTTTACTGATAGGGAGTTTTCATTTCTTAAATGATTCACAATGGAATTCCTTTAAAAAGCAAATTATCTTAGTGTCTACCGCACTTATTTACCACCGACATTTCAGAAACACGAATGCTAGATAAAGAGTAACGCAGCCTGTCTTAGCCTGTGTGGGCTGCTCTAACAAAATACTAGGGACCATGTAGCTTATAAACACCAGGAACTTATTTCTCACCATTCTAGAGGCTAGAAGTCCAAGATTAGGGTGCCCGCATAAGGAGATTCTGGTAAGAGTCCTCCTTGGGGATGAAAACAGCAACTTCTGCCTATGTCCTCATAGCGTGGAAGGAACTAGAAAGCTCTGTCCAGACTTTTTTAAAAAATAAGGGCACTAATCCCACTCACCAGGGCCCCACCCTCATGATTTAAGCATTTCCTAAAAGCCTCAACTCCTAATGCCATCACATTGAGCATTAAGTTTCAACATATTAAGGGGGGGGGGGCAGTGGACACAAACTTTTAACCTACTGCATGGCCACATTGGAAATAGTGTAACTGTTTAAAATATTCAGGAATTCAAGATTTTTGCTGAAGTTAATAAATTATAATTATGCCCTGACCCTTACCTGGGGCCAGTCTTCCTTAAACCAAAAGTGTCCTTACCTGGCGAGATTCTAGAGACAATACTGAAGTCTGAGGCCCAGGCTAAAGCAAGCAAACACAAAGACAAGATGCGGTTCTTGCCTCATCTCACGCCATAAAGGTTTCCTTCGCATTCAAGGTGTTGAAAGTTCTTTAAAAGCAATTATTTCTGGCACCGATAAAAGTGTAATTTTTTCTCAGATAGTCACACCGCTGCAAGACCGAGTTAATTAGTTGCTGTCCTGAGGAGCCTTGGAGAGAAAGGCTTTGGAGGCGCGGGCTGGAGGCCCAGGGGTGAAGAAAGGCAAAAATGTGAGTGGTGCGCACGTGTGCGTGTGGGCATGCGTACACGTATGCGGGGGTGTAGGGGTAGGAGTGAGGTGGGCCGCGGGAAGTGCAGGGTCCCTCGCTCCTTAGACTAAGTCACGGCCACATGCCCAGTGGCTGACACTTGGGGGCTCTCGATAAATATAGCGGGACCGATTCTGGCGCTTCCTCCAGACAACTTCGCCGACTTGCGAGGCGGGAACTCGCCTAAGAGAGAGAGGAGTTCGGGGTCCTACCGTCCACGCGCAAATCGAGGCGCCCCCAAGAGTGGACACCGGAAGCCCACCGGCGACCCCACGGATGGCCCCAGAAGCCTGGCCGCGGAGAAGGTAACTCCAGCTGCTGCGGGCGCCGAGCACCTCCCTCCCCAGGGTTGGGGCGCCAACAGCACAGATCGGGGTCTGGGGCCTGACTGGGGAAAAGCCCTCCGGCCGTGGGACTGGGTCCCCGGCACTGGTGCGGAAGCCCGAGTGGAGGTACATACGGGGGCCAGCAGCGCCGGGAGAGAAGGAGGGGCGCCCCTGGCTAGCGCCGGGTCGTCGAGCGCCGAGAAGTCCGCGGAGCGCGCTCTTCCGCGTGCGCGGCTGGGGCTGTGCGCGCGGCCGGTTTGCAGAGCGCGCTCCCGGGTCACGTCGAGCGCTGCTGGGGATGCAGAAGGGGCTCTCCCGGGGACGGTGAGCGCGGCGTCGGGGTCGTAGAGCTGTCGGCAAACTTTACCCGGCGCGCTCTCCGGGTGCGCGGCCAACTTTGCCAGGGCGCCTTCCCCCCGGGCGACGCTCGCGGACCACGGTGCAGACCCGGCGACCAGTTCTGCAGGGGGCGCCCTCCCGGGACGGTGCGCGCGTTGGAGCGGGTCGTTGGGCTCGCGAGCCACTCCGGGGAGCGCACCAGCGCGAGCGGGAGGCGGCGCCCGCAGCCCCGGCCGGCTCCGGGAGACTGCCCCGCGCGACTCCGCCTCCTGCCGCGCCGGGCCTTCTAGTTTCGCTTTCGTTGGAGCGGCCCCAGACCCTCGCCGCGCAGGGACCGAGACTGACGCCAGCTCTGGCCGCCTGGCCGCCCGGTCGCCGAGGACACGGTAACTTCGGCCCCTGCCTCCGCTAGCGCCCGTCCGGGCCCGGCCGCGCGCGCTCCTTCCCTCCCTCCGCCCGCGGCCTCCCGCCCACCCAGCCCGGCCTCCGTCTCGCTCAGCCCGGCGCCCCTCCCACCCCCTGGCCGGCTCTCCTCCGCCTCTCTCCCTCTTCCCCGCCCGGGCTGGCCTGCTCTGAAACTTTGGGGAGAGGGCCCGGCACCGCTTGCTTGGCTCAGCTCATTCTCCTTCCCTGCTGGCCGCGGATTTGGAAGAGGGGGCGTGGATTGAGGCCGGAGGGAGGGGATCGTGATCTCGCCGGGCTGACAGCGAGCGCTCGGGTGTCAGACAGCCCTGGGCGCGGATCTTCGCGCCCGTCTGTCAGCTGTGGGCCTCGGTCCTCCCTGTACCTGTCTGTTAAATGGGAACGGAGGCGACGGCGGGCCGAGGGTCGCTGCGAGAATGGAAGGAGGTGACTGGTGCATATAGCAGTGCCTCCATTTGGGCTCAGTGTGCCGGAGGCAACTGTCATCCTGGCTGGGGCTCTTGAAGATTCCTGGAGGAAGTGAAAAAAGGCAGGACCACAGGCGACCTTGCAACCTTTCACCGTTGTAATTCAAGTTTGTCATTTATGGGGCAGTAAAATCACTTGTGGGTTATTCTGTGTGAGTCATTCCCAGGCTTCTTCTGGTGGACTATGTGGCCCTGTACTTTGCTTACTTACAGGCTGTTTCCTCCTTCAGGGGCGCCTGACCTTCAGCCTCCATAGGCAGCCCTCACCTGGGTTCATAATTCACCTCTGCTTCCTGTTAGTTGTGTGGCCCTGGGCAGAATACTTAAACTCTCTGAAGAAACCGAAGTTTCTTCTGCAATATGGTGTGAAGGCTCCAGCCTCCTAGCAGTGCTATGAGCTCCTGGGGACG